GCGGGTGAGCGCTTCTGGTCGGACCGGGCCGGACCGCCGCTGAGCTGCGCTGTCCCCCGCCGGCACCCGCGGCGGGCGCGGCCCCTTTAAAGAAGTTGTCCAGTCATCGCGCGGTGCTGCCAAGTCATCGGGGTCAGCCGAGTTCTCGCGGCCACGCCCCCCGCGCCCGCCCATTGGTGCTCGCGGAGAGAGCTCACTTCTGATTGGTCGAGGACTTAGAGCAACTTCTCGGAATCGGGGCTGTGTCACCAGCCCCGGCACAGGGAGGCACCGCCCGAGGGCGGGTGGGGGCGGTCAAGCCGTGTCCGCGGCAGCGCCACGCCCCGCCCGGGGCCCGCGGAAGGGTCGAACCCCTTTGGAGCCGCCCTGCCCCCGCCGTCCCTTCACCCGCTTGAAAATGCCAACTCACAGCACGCGGGGCACGCCGGGAGCACTGCTCCGCACTACAACTCCCAGCGTGCCCCGCGGCGGGGTGGCCCCGTCCGTTCCCACGGCAACCGCCGCCCGGCCAGGAGGGAGCCGAGCTCTCCCCCAGGGGGTAGGCGGGGCAGAACACCGGCCTCGCCTTTCCATTGGCTGAGCCGCGGGTCTCGTCGGGCCGCCATTGGCGGGAGCGTGTGGCAATCGCGGCGCGGGGGCGGGCGCGGCGCGCGGCGGTGGTACGGGCCGGCGATTGGCCCGGGGGCGTGGCCGAGGGGCGTGGCCGGGGGGCGGCTGCGTCATGACTCCGCCAGCTGATCCGGGACGGAGCCGGCGCGCGGCGGGGGGAGGCGGCGGCACCGGCACCGGGCACGGCCCGAGCGGCACCGGCGGGGCGGCGGCGCTGGTGGCGCCGGGCCAAGTCGGGCCCGGCCGAGCCGCGCAGGTGGGTCCGCCGGTACCGCGTTGGGTCGGGCGGTTCGGGTGGCGGAGCGGAGCCCCGCACGGCGCTCTCGGTGCTCTGGGGCTTGAGGGGCCCCGCCGTGCCCCGTTAGGGAAGGTCACCTTTCCCCGGGGCAGCGCGGCCGGGCGGGGTGCGGCGCGAGGCGTCCTTCGCCGGGCCCCGCGGCGCCGCCTGGGCCGGGCGGCCTCGCCCCCGGTGTCGGTGGGGCGGGCAGGGGGGGCTGGGGCCGGGCCCGTGCGCGGCTCCCGCTCCGGAGGGTCCCGGTGGGGCGGGCGGGGCTGCGCCCGGGGCCTCCCCGCCACGGGCGGTGGCCGCCCCGGGGGTGACCTTCACTCCGGGACCGGACTGGGCAGACTTTGACCCGCGGCCGCTCCCCGCCGGGGGCACGGAGCGGAGCATCCCGGGCGGCGGAGGGGCGGCAGGGTGTCCCGGGGGGAACGGAGGGAGCGGCTTTGCCGTGGAGCGGCGTGGGGGGAGCTGCCTCCGTTAGGGGGGAGGGGGGAGTTGGTTTTACCGGGAGGAGAGGCACCGGGGGAGGGGGGGGTGACCCGGTTATACCGGGAGAGGGGCACCGGCTGGGGGCACGGCGTTCTTTGCTAGCGGGGCGAGCTCCCACCGGGGCCCTTCCCGGAGCCGCTGGGGTCCGCCGGTGCTGAGAAGAGCTGGGTGGGAGCCCCGTTACCGACAGGGCCCCCTCTCGTCGGTCCCCGGTGCCGGCGGCGCCCCCGGTGCCGGCGGGGCCGGTGGCTTCAGCGGCGGGTGCTGATTCACGGGCCGGCGGGGGTGGAGCAGGGCCGGGACCAGCTCGCTGGAATCCGGACCAGATGTACCCGGCACGCCAGGAATGCTCGGCATCCCCGCCGGGCCCCGCCGCCGCTGCGCCCCGGCCACCGGCCCCGCACCGAGCGCCCCGCGGCACCCACCGGGCTCCGGCCGCCCCCGGGGCCCGCCCCGGCCCGGGGCCCGCCGCGCTCCGCAGTGCCCTCGGGGTGCCGCCGGCGGGAGGATGCTGCGGGGGCCCCCCGGGGCTTTCCCGGTACCATCAGTCCCCCGCCGTGCCCGGTGGTTCCCCGGGAGGTTCCCAAAACTCCATCCCTGGAGCCAAAGCTCTGGCTGTTGCAGAAAAGGGATTTTTCCGGGCTCAGAGGAAAGCTGTAAGATCCAACACCAGCCCTGGGTTTGGCGTCTTTGCCTTCCAACAAAACGGCTCAGAATGGGGCTGAGCTGCCCGAAGTTGCCCCTCCTGCCCGAAATTGCCCCGTTCCCCCGCCGTAGCTCGGCAGCAGCCGCCTGCCCGAGTGTGTTCCCCGTCAGGAAGCAGCTGGCTCCCGTCCAGGTGGGACCCTGCCAGCAGTGATGGATGCCCGAGGTGAGCCCTGGGAACGCCATCACCCCCACCTGCAGTCCCTCCCTGCCCGAGGAGCTGCCCTTATCTCTGTTATTTTCCAGCAGAAATGGCCTTGGCTTTCCCTGCCTGCTCCTCGTGGTTTGGGGCTGGCTGCAGGTGCTGGAGCTCAGGCTTTGGGAGAGGGGAGGGATGGGGAGAGCTGAGCTCTGAGCTGCCTCTGGATGGGGGGAGGACAGAGGAATGGATCAGCGTTGTGGGGAGGGATGGGAGCTGCTGTGGGTGACAGCTCAGCTGGGCACAGCTCAATCCTGGCTCTGAAATGGTGTGTTCCCTCCCCAGGTGCTGCCGTGCCGCCCTGCTCCTGGCTAACCAGCACCAGTTCTTCAGTGGCAAGCTTTATGTCCTTCTCCAGTAGCTAAAGCTGCCAGTTGAAGAACTGTTGAATGTAGCCACTCTCTTCTCGTCACTGGGACCTTGGATGCCAGCCAGAGCCGTGCCCCGAGCCACCAGGATGAGCCACTCTGCGTTGGAGGGCTGAGGATGAGTGTGACCAGGATGAAGAAAGACTCCAGACAGAGCCTTGGCTGGAGGATTGTAGGCAGCTGTGCCAAAATGTGTCGTCCCCCTCCCTCAGCGGGGTGGCACTGAGCTGGGAGGAGACTGAGAGAAGCATTAAACATTATTTTGCTCAACTGTTGAGTTTTAGGAAGTTTGTTGCCTGGATCAGGTGGGGGCACAGCACCAGATCTGTGTCCCCAGTGATGCCACCCTGGGGTTTCTGATGGAGGGGTCGATCCTTTGGGCTTGTCCTGAGCCAGAGGCTGAGCCCAGGAGCTGGATGAGCCCTGCAGCAGGGCAGGCAGGGGGATGGAGCCCAGGAGAGGGCTGGCTGAGCGGGTCAGGGCGCGGCCACTGGGCCAGGGTGACTCAGGGCGAGTCACACGTGGGTCACACACAGCTCTGGACGCTGCTCCCAGAGCCTCCAGCCTGGGGGGACACCCAGCAGTGCCTGGGCTCTGAGCTAGCAGCACTCAGAGGAGCTGTGGTGAATTTTATTTGGTTCTTCTGTGCTCCAGGCTCTGTTTTGTTGGTGAACACAAGCTCCGGACTGGCCTGGGGGGAATTTGGAAGCTGCTCTCCCAAGCTGGAGGAATTTGCCTTGCACTGAGCGAGAGGGGAGCTCCATGAGGGCTGCAGGATTTCCCCCAGCTCTGCCAGGAGCAGCAGCTCCCTGGGTGACTGGGAGCAGGGGAGTGTCCAGGCCCTGCTGCTGCTCAGAGCCTGCCAGAGGAGCACAGCTCATCCCCGCTCCGAGGGCGGGCACGGAGGAACAGCCCTGTGCTGAAATGTCTGCACAATCTCAACTCCATCTGCCTGCCCAAGGCAGGGCTGCTCCCAAATCTGGCACCCAGCAAAGCACACACAGTGGCCTGGTGTCCATTAAGTGGTACAAGTAGAATAAATCTGTTGTCCTGGGGTCTATAAAGCTGCTGTGCTTGGTGTGTTCTTGCTGTTGGCTAGGAGGAGCTGGGTTTCTTTGGGGTGGTTCTCACCCACAGGGGGTGGGACTGCTGAAAAGCCTTGGATCAGTTCTCTTCCACCACAGCTGCCCTGCTGCAAGTCCATGCAGAGCAGCTGGCACCTGCTCAGTGCCCAGCACATCCTGGAGTGCATGGAGGGGCAGAAAGTGATGGTGGAGGGTGCCTGAGGGCAGGGAGGAGCAGCTCCTGGGCGGTGCTCCCCCTCCTCTGATGTGCATGAGCTGTGTGCTCCGTGTGCCTCACAAATCTGCAAACCTCCCCTGGCATGAAGGAACACCCTGTGCTGCTGAAACCCGGCTCTTTCCTGGGTAAATTGTGGCTCTTTCAGAGCAGAGAGTTGCCCTGAGCACAAGCACCATACCAGGAAAAGTAAAACATTGTATTTAAGTTAAAATTCGCATGTGAGGTGCCAGAGGACAGGTTTGGGTGTCCCAACACAAAACCAGCGCTGCAGGATCACACCTGCTGAGCAGAGGGCCCAGGCTCTGGCTGCCCTGCACTCAAACCAGAGGGGGTTTGGGCTGTCACTCAGTGTCCCTGTGGGAACTTGCCCGGCTCCTGGGACTTACCCTTCCTCCTGCACAGCCCCATGTGACTGGTGAGTAAGTGCAAGGCTTCCTGTAGAAAGCACAGCCCTGGCCGTGCAAAACCCCAGTGACTCTTTCCTCTAGCATCTGGCCACCTCCTCCAGGCATCCAGCATGCAGGCACACAGCAGGAAGGGCTGGATCTGGGATTTCTCTGCCAGAATGTCACATTCCAGACAGCAGCGACCCTGCCAGCAGGTGCTGCTGGCTCTGAGCTCGGGTGGCATCCCTGTGTCCTCAGGGGCAGAGCATTCTGTGCGAGTTCCTGCACAGAGCCCACCTCGTTCCCTGCTGGGAGAGGAGCAGCTCGTCTCGGTCACAGCTCCCCTCGCTGGGAAAATGTGTTTTTGCAGAGGAGAAGGTCAGCGTGACCGGTGTGCTAAATGAGAGCTCCCTGCCGGCAGGGAAGGAGCTGCTGTGTCTCTGGCTGGTGAATCTGTGCATGAGGGGTGGCTGCTGAGCCCCAGGCCATGGGCACCCTCCTCTTACCCAGCCCAGAGCTCTGCTGAGCTTTGCCCAGCCAAGGGCTGTCTGCAAACACAGAATGCAGGTTCTGGGTTCAGCTTTGCTGATGGTTTTATTGCTCCAGGGTGGGAGGCTGTGGAGCTGTTGGCACTTTTTTGTCAGTGCCACACACCAAACTCAGCTCTCTGCCAGCGAGGTGATGCTGCCAATGTCACAGGCCCTGCAAACAAGAGGTGTGATGGGGGTTTGCAGTGACTCCTTTACGTTTTGTGTCTCTCAGTGGGCTCTGCTGGCGTGGGGGACAGCACAGAGCCACCCAGCAGCTGGGTCAGGGTGCCACTCACTCTGCTTCTTCTTTGGAGATTTGCTTCCCCACGTACAACACTTCTGCAATCAGGGACACCATGGGGTCGCAGTTGAGGCTGGCAGCTGCAGTCACATGGCCATCCCTGGCACGGAAAGAGGAAGAGTGTGGATCTCCTCAGGGCACAGAGCTCAGCATCCCCGTGGCACAGGGAGCAGCTGTGCCCCAGAGGGCCCAGGGCAGGGTGGCTGCTGCTGCTGCAGGATGCACAGGCACTGGTGGCACACAGCCTGGCACTGCTGGGAGCTGGGCACCGAGCCTGGCAGCACTGGGGCACAGGCAGAGATGTGTCCCAGGCTCTCTGCCCAGCTGGTGCCATCGTTTGAGTTCATTCTCTCCTCCTTCCCTCTGCCCTGCTTTGGTTTTTCTCTGGTTCAGCACCCAGCAGCTGCACAGGGGGGATGTGGAGCCTCTGTGGGATCCCTGCAGCTCCAAGAGAGAGGGCTGTGCCTGTTTCCAGGGCATGGGCTGCCTGTGGATTCACTCACCTGATGTAAAAGATGAGGAATTTCTGTTGCTCCAGGCTGCCCTTCACCACAGTGTCCGTGTATCCCTTCCCACAGCCTGGGGGAAAGAGCCTGCTCAGGAGCCCTGGCACGGCAGATTGTACCCAAACCACCTCAGAAACAGCGTGGTGGGGACAGAGGGGACAGTGCTGCGGCTGGGGAGCAGACATGAGGGCCCTGGACAAGCAGAACTGACTTTGAGCCTCTCCTTGGTTTGGAGAGAGAAGTTCTTCCTCTGTGACCTCCAAACCCGCTGTAGATCAGCAAAGGACAAGAGCTCTGGGTGAACCCCAGGGCTCAAACTCACCATGGCAGCCACTCCTGAGCTTGAGCTGCTCCAGGTGACCTCTGCACCCACCCCCAGACCCAGCTGGTGGAAGGAATTGCTCTGCTCCCCTCTGTTCCTCTCCCTACCTGCATAGCGGATGCTCTTCCCAAGCAAGGTGCTCCAGAAGTAAGGAACAGTGTGCAGCTCCTCCCCTCTGCCCAGCATGTTCAGGGCAGCACAGCGACCTGGGAGCAACCAACACACTCAACATTGCTAATAAAATAAAATAAAATAAAATAAAATAAAATAAAATAAAATAAAATAAAATAAAATACTGCTCCCCGTGTGCCCTGCTCTCCCTCTGTGCCATTCCCATCTCTGAGGGAGCTGGAAGGTGACAAGTCCTGTGGAGGGACAGAATGTAAGAGAATAGTCTCACCCTGAGGAATTGCAGCTGTACAAATCACCAAATATTAGGAACAAGCCTGCCCTTAACAGGCCACAGCTGTGTCTAGTGAGGATGAGTGCTAAAAAAGAGTGGGTTAGCTGGGTGAGGAGAGAGATGGAGTTTGTTAAGGAGAAGAAGAGGAGGAGGAGGAAGAAGAAGAAGGAGAGAAAAAGGAGAAGAAGATGAGGAGGAGAAGAAGAAGGAGGAGGAGGAGGAGGAGAAGAAGAAGAAGAAGAAGAAGAAGAAGAGGAAGAGGACAATGGAGGAAGAGGAGGAGGAGAAGAAGAAGGAGGAGGAGGAGGAGGAGGAGGAGGAGAAGAAGAAGAGGAAGAGGACAATGGAGGAAGAGGAGGAGGAGAAGAAGGAGGAGGAGAAGAAGGAGGAGGAGGAGGAGAAGAAGACGACAATGGAGAAAGAGGAGAAGGAGGAGGAAGAGGAGGAGAAGAAGAAGACGAAGACAACAGAGGAAGAGGAGGAGGAGGAGAAGAAGAAGAAGGAGGAGGAGGAGGAAGAGGAATAGGAGGAATCAGTGCTGTGAGGAGTTGTCCATGAGAAATCACCAAGAAGGAATGGAAATTTTGCAATGAGATGACAGCAATGTCCCTCACTCACCATGGGCCTCAGCCACCTGCTGGTGGTGGATGCTGGACCTGTCCCCACCCAGCAGTGCCACTGGGAATGTCACCACGTCCCCCGCAGCGAAGACCTTGGGGATGTTGGTTTGCATGTGCTAATTGGGCAGAAGGCAATTAATTAGTGCACTGATGGGAGGGGAGGGATGGGGAGTGAGCTGGGTGCTCAGCTGGCACTCACCAGATCCACCAGGATGGCACCTTTGGCATCTCTGGCAATGGGGGTGCCCTTCAGGAAGGCTGAGCTGGGGATTGAGCCTGCGGGGAGAGGAGCAGGGGTGAGATGCAGAGAAATTCTGCAGGGACAGGGAGGAAATTTGGGAATGGGGAGAACACCCAGCAAGCCCAGGGCTCTCACCTATCCCCACCACCACCACATCTGCAGGGAGCTTCTCTCCGTTGGCAAGGACAGCCTCTGTGACCTGGGGAAGAAGGAAAGGTCATTAATAAAGAGTCAAAACCTCTGTCCTAATTCCCACAGCCTCCCTGCTGCTTGGCTCTTTGCTGTCTTTTTCTCTCCCCCCACGTTGGGATCACCTTGTCCAGCTGATGTGTGTTGCTGGGAATGTAAAAGAAAATCACGCTGTTGTCCCTGGGATAGGAACATTTTACTGGTGCCCTTTGAGCCCAGAGCTGTGCTCAGTGAAAAGGAAGGGAGGGTCTAGACATGGGAGAGGAAAGCCTGATGTAGGCACTGGGTTATATCTCAACTTGGGCTTTTTTTCCCCCTAAAATTAGCAGTTCAGGGATCACAAAGGCAGGACTGACCTTTCCATCCTTTCCTTTCAGCTCACACAGCTCTGTTTTCATGTGGAACTTCACCCCTTTATTTTGCAGCATCTGAAAAGGACTGGTTTGAGTATTCATTAGGAAATTCCAGGCTATAAAAACAGCTGTAGCCAGCCAAAAGCCAGGCAGGCAGCTCTGCTGCTGCTCCAGCCTGCAGGGAGACTCCATTTGTGTCCCCGCCTGCTGCAGGCACACACAGCCTGGCTTTTCTCTATGTGAGAGGTGGGTTCGGGGTGAGGAATTGATGAGGGGGAGGTTGGGAGCAGCCCTGTGTGGGTGAGCACAGAGGCTGGGCATGCAGGGTTGTGACTCAGCACAGGGGCGAGGTTTCCTGGGCTGATGTGGATCCTGGGGCTGCTTGGCTCTCTCGTGTGTTCTCCAGGCCAGAAATCAGCCCCAGGTTCTGCTCACCTTCATGGCAACGCCTCCAACCTGAGGACCCAAGGCGTGCTGGAAAGGGAACTGCTCTCTCTCCACCACGGAGATGGTTCCAGCCCTGTCTGAGAGGAAGGCAGCCACCTCCATCCCTGCAGGGAAGAGGCATGCCCGAGGTAAGCCTGCTGCAAGCACCAACCTGCACCCCTGGAACCCTTCTCCCCTTCCAGACAGCAAATCTGATGTGCTGCCAGCGCTGAGCTGCTTTGCTGTGCATTTCTGAGGTGTTCAGCTCCCCCCTTTCTTTGTTCTCCAGGATTTTGGGAGATGCAAAGAGTATCTCCTGGTTTTGTCCAAAAAACCTCCCTTTCTGTGCCTTAGCCCCTTGCTTTCCCAGTGCTTCTGGGGAATCCAGCTCCTCTGGAGGACAGTGACCTTTCCACAAGGCACATTTCCCTCTGTCCATGTGTAGCAATTGTTTATAGCTCTCCAAGTTTATCAGAGGAAAAGATGAGTGTGTGCTGTGTAACTCACACCCCCAGCAGCTCCAGGGAGGATCCCAGCCGGGGAGAAAAGGAACATCCCTCCCCTGAGGGCCTCCAGTTAATGTGCACATGAACCAGAAGGGGGTTTGGGGGGCTCTCACTGAGGGTCTGACTCCCGCTCCAGCCTGGTACCTATGAATGAGGCTCCCACAATCACCAGATTCTTCCCAGTTGCCAGCTCCAGGATCTTGCTGGACTCCTCTGGGGTTTGGAGCGTGCAGATGTTCTGCAGGTCTGCACCTGGCACTTTGAGGAAACCAGAGCTGGAAGAGAGAGAACCCAGATGCATTCCGTGGTGTGAATTAAACAAAGAATGGGGAGGGAGCACAAACCCACGGCTGTGTCACCCCATTCTGCCCTCCCACCTCATCTCCTACCTCCACCTCTGCATCCCTGCCCAAAATCCAGCACTTTGTGCACTCACTGGCTGCCTGTTGCAATGAGCAGCTGGTGGTACTTCTGAGAGGAGCCATCCATGAAACGAACCTTCTGCTTCTGGAAATCCACTGACACTGCCTGCAGGAGAGAGGGGGCACGGATCTCACCGGTTCCCCTGTCCCGCCTGTGTTTTTGGCACTCAGGGGAGATATGGGGGGTGCTGGGGTTCTCTCTCCCACTTCCCACAGCTCCATCCATGGATGTTTCACCCTCCCCATGAGGATTGAGCCCAGCTGCTCTGGTACCTCTTTCTCTGTCCAGAACTCAATACCCCGAGCCTGGAGGAATTCAGGTTTCCTCAAGTAGATATCCTCAGCTTTCAAGTCCATTTCCTGGAAACACAACAAAAGTATGAAATGAAGCATTTCTTAGAGGCAGCAATTCTCTTGAAGTGTTCCTTGTGGAGTCAGTTTGGAAAAGAGGTGAATTTTACATCAGTGAATCACAGCTCCCCACACTGCCCCATCGCCATCACCTTGTGACCTCAGAAAAACCATCAAACTTTAAGGGAAGAGCTCAACAAAAGGAGATAAAAACATCAGCTCCTGTTGACTCTGCTCAGAGATTTTCTGGGAGGAAAAAGGAGTTTTCCTGGAAATAACATCCCTATTTGTGGGGGGATAGAATATAAGAAAATAAAAACAGTGGAGAAAGTAATCTCACCCCTAAGGAGCTGCAGCTGGGCCAATTATCAAAGATTAGGAACAGGCCTGGCTTGAAGAGGTCACAGGTGTAAGCAATGAGAAGAAGATGCTATAAAAGAGTGGGGTGGGTGGTGGGGAAGGGAACTGGAGTCAGTTGGGTGCTTTGTGAAGAAGAAAGAGTCAGTGCTTGGAGGAGAAACACCAAGAAGGTGTGAAACTTTTGTGATAAGGAGACAACAGCATGGAACCCCTGCAATAAGATGGCAACACCTATTCCTTCAGGATGCCTCAGCACTCCTGCTTTGCCCCCCGAGCGTGTCCTGTGCCCAGGCACGGTGCTGCCCTTGTCACATTGCTGAGCATTGTCACCTTGCTCAGCTTGGACTTGTCGTAGGGAACGTGCTTCTCCTTGGTGGCCATGATGATCCTGCCGGTGAACCCCTCCTGGCGAAGAGTCTCTGCACACACCAGGGCAGCCACACCTGCAGGAGAGGCTCGTCTCAGCCCTCTGACACCTCACTGAGGAGGAGGAGGAGGAGGAGGTCGGTGCTCCCTGGAGAGGAGAGCGGCAGCTCCCATTGTGTGTGTGGAGGGGGCAGAGCTCAGGTCTCAGATGCCTCCACTGACCTCCCCCCAGCAGCAGCATCGTGTTCTTGTTGAGGAGGCACCTCCTGCTTGTGTCCTTCACCCTCTGGCTGCTTTCCAGGTCCTGCAAAAAAAAAAAAAACATAAAAAAAGCAAAATGCTCAAGTCACACGCAGACCAAGGCACTGCCTGTGCTCAGTGACTGCAGGTAAGGTCAGTACCTTCTTTTTTGCTGTAATGAACACCTTTCCATCTTCCACTGTTACCTAAAGGAGAGGGTTTTTGAGTGCTGCATCCATGAGGTTGTGGCAGGAGCTCTCCTGGAGATCCTGGTCCAGTGTGCCATCTGCCTCTGCTCTGATCTTGGGTGTCACATGAGGAGCTGAGGAGCTCATGAGCTTTTCTCCTCATCCTAAGAGCACTGAGGAAGAGCTGTAAATCCTCTTTTTCTTTCCAAAAGCACTTGTGCTGGCTCTGAGGACTACTGGGATCTGTGGCATCACCTTGGACTGAAAGGAGCTTTAGGGCAGGGAGTTGCCTAATCCCAAAATCATCCCTGGTGTGGAAGCTCTCAGTGACAGAGCTGTGCTCAGGGGGCTTGGGAAAGAGAATGAATGTGAGCCCACCCAGCTGGGAGGCCAAGAATTCACCTTAAAGCTGGGGATGCAGTCCAGAGCAGGGTATTCCTCAATGTCTCCAGTCCTGATGTTAAAGCAGGCCCCATGCCAGGGGCAGCGCAGCCTCTCCCCTCTCAAAACCCCTGCAAGAGACCCCCACCCCAAGCTGGGCAATGAGAACCAACCTCCCCAAGGTGTTTTTTATCCCCCCTGCCCCAAGCTTGGGGCTACCTTTGCTCAGAGGGGCACCGTAGTGGGGACATTTGCTGCCCAGAGCTCGGAACTCCCTCCTGTTCCTCACCAGCAGCACTGGGTACCCGGCCACCGCCACCTCCAGGAGCCTGGGGGAGAGGAGCAGAGGTGGGCACAGAACCCCCCAGGTCCCCAGCATCCCCCCCAGGCACTCACTGTCCGTCCCCAACGTCGTCCTCCCTGCAGACCTCCTCAGTGATGGTGTCACTGCTCTCCATGCTGGGCGCTGGCAGGCGCTCAGAGGGTCCCAAATTTCTGATGGAGCACCAAAATTACCTCCAAACGCCCCTTTTGTAACTCTCTGTCCAAACCCAGCACCCTTTTCTCCTCTGAATTAACCCACTTCTCATCTCCAGCCCCATTGAACTCAGCTGCAGCACGGGGTGAGTGAGCAGATGTGGTAATGGCTCTTGTAAACAAATATAATTATTTATGGGGAGCTGCTGCTGCTGCCACAGCCCGTGTCTCCCTCAAATTGGGTCTAAAGAGATGCTTCAGCCTCTCCAAAGCCTCTCCAACATTTGTGCAGAGATGTTACTCATGGGAATTGCCCTGAAAACATTAATCCCATCCCAAAATGCCTCCTGGGCTGGAAAACATCCAACCCCCTTGGTGCTCAGTGCTCTCCCTGCCTTAGCAGTCATTGAGAGGCTGATTAGGAATCTCCCTCTTTGTTTTACAGAGGAAAAAAAGCAAGAAATGGAGCAGGAGAAGATAATTTAAGGCAGGTTTTGGTGCAGGGCGGTGACTTGTTCCTACAAACCCCTCTGCACCACTCCCCTCATCCCAGGTTTTTTGGGAGAAGCATCTCTGGGTACTCACCTGGTCCTGCCAGGGGGGTTCAGGCACCTGTCCCCCGGGTCAGAGAGCCACGACCGCTGCTGCCTGCGACTTTCTCCTGCGAGGTGACACCCTGGTGTCTCCCAGAGCCGCCAGCCCACGGCTGGTGATGCTCTCCCTTGCACAACGCTCCCACCCATCAGGAGATGCAGCTCCTGGCAGAGGCTGCCTGCCAGGCAGCGTTATCTGATTTCTGCAACTGGCCTGGGCCTCATTAAAGGTATTTTGCTGGGGTTTAGGGTTGCAAAAGAGTCGAGGGCGCACAGGAATTATGGCACAGGTGTGGTGCGAAGATGGGGTGCGTCATGGGCAGCGTGACCAGAATCTCAAGGGGGTTCAGTGATATCCCAGGGTCCCTTTCCCACTGCCCCTTTTCCTGGTGGAAAGCACTCCGGCTACAACACAACATATTCTTTCAGCACTTTGGAATGATATTGCTACATTTTATATATTTTAACAACACTTAAAATGCTTTAATTTGATTTTTTTGTCTTTTTTTCTCTGTTGATTTTAAGTAACATGAAGTTTCCAGCAGCTCTGCATGTGCCTTGCATCCCAGCTCTGCTCCTGGTTCAGCCACTGATGTCCAGGCACACAATTCCATCATCCCCTGGCCCGTGAAGGATGCCTTGGAGCAGGGTGCTGCTTGCTGGGCTATTTTTACAACAAAGTGGGAGTTGCAAAAAACTGGGAGTAACACCTACACTGTTTGTGTCTCCTCTTGTGTTCTTATCTCTATTTCACAGTCAGTATGTTTCACAACTTAAAATATGCCTCAAAAAATTAAAGGGGGGGGGGGAAAGTTACCAACAGCGCACTTCCATCATCTCCCTTGCAGAACAGGAGATCTGCAGCAGGGGGGATAAAAATCCTCTGGTGGGTATCACCTGCAGGAGAACGCATGTGCAGGATGCTGGGTAAGTGCAGGATGGATTATTTGGGAAGCAGTTAAATTCATGGGACCCTCCAAGCCATGAGCAGGGTACCAGGACCCTGCTGTGCCCGGCCCACGGGCTCTGCACACCCACGACGGCCGCAGGAATGAGGGATTTTCTCACAGCACCAACGAGCAGCTTCTGGGCTCTGCCCTCCTGGCCAGGAGCCGGAATGTGAAGCAATTTGGCTGCCAAATGTCCGTATTTAAACTCTGTGTAATTATTCCCCAGGAGCGCGTTCCCACGTGGAGGAGCAGCAGCCCTTGCCGGGCGTTCTCTGACTCAGCAGAAAAGGCTGGAAAAGCGTTTGCTCACGGATGGAAATGTGCAGAGAGCAGGCAAAGAGGTGTGCAGCCTTGCGATGAGGCAGGTGGAGCTCGATCCTGTGCAGGGATGTTTGCACTGCAGGGCTGAGCAGCAGATTTGGCTGCTGGATGCTGCTGGATGCAGCCGAGCGCCCAGGAAAGGCTTTTGGAAAGGGCAAAGGAAAGGGCAAACCAAAATGCTTTGACAGAGGCAAAGATGATAGAATGGATATTAGAAAGGTGATAGACAGAGGATACAAAGTGGAAAAGGGCTTTGGATGTCAGGGGAAAGCTGGGGGCTGGCTGCAGGGGTGTTGGTGTGTGTCAGGAATGCACAACGTGCCCTCGAGGGACTGGGATGGGACTGGAGGCAGGTTTTCAGGAAGATGCTCTGTAAACATCTTTTGGCCTTTTTTAGGTAAACCAGAGGTGGTTACTCAGAGGGTTTTAGACCTTTTCTTGTAGCACAAGTCAGGATTAAACATAGGAAGGAAGAGAGGAAAGGGAAGTGGTGCCCTCAACCACAAAGAGAGCCCAGGTGGGCACCAGACACCTCTGAGCAGATCTGCCACCCACATTGTGCTGACTCACACGAGCTGCTGAGCTGACCTTGGGTGTTATTAGACACCTTCCCTTCTGCTGTGCCTCCCCAGTGCTGAAAACCCAAGTTTAGAGGCAAAGATTTAAGGGGTGTAACTTTCCTGCCTTCAAGTTCCCACCACCATCAGCTGGAGTAGCACATTTTTTCATGCCATGGCTGTGTGGATTCATCTTTTTCCCAGCTCAGGGACCTTCCCTGCTCTGCCAGAGCCACTGATTTTAACAAGCAGCACCCACGGAGTGAAACTGCTCAGCTGCAGGAAGAGGAAGCGAGGTGAAACCTGCAGCAGAGCTGGAGTGATTAATGGGGCACTGCTCTCAGAGCAGCTTGGTTTGTGATATTAATAACGAGAGAATTCAGGAGGGAACCCAACCTGTTCCGAGCTGTGGAGCCAGCAGCAGCAGGAGATGCAGGGGGGAAGCTCCTGTGCTGGTATTTGTAAAACAGGAGGAATTGAGTGGGCTCAGAGGGTGTGTGAGGGGTTTGGGATGTGTTCCCACCTTGGAGGATTCATTCTTAACCTGTCTGAAATGCAACAAAAAAACCCCATGTAGTGGTAAATGCATCATGATGTAATCACGAAGCACATACATATTCATCGAAAATTACTTAAGCTTGAGACTGGTGAATTAAACAGGGGAAAAAAAATGTTTATCCCAGAAGGGAAGAAGACGGGGAAAAGGAAAATTTAGTGAGAATGAATTTGCTTACAGGGTAAGAATAATTATATGTGATGGTTCACATTTTCTTCCTGAGCATTCACGTCTGGTGATGGTGAGAGATGGGACACAGGCCTGGCAGACACCTGGCACCGCTTCACAGTGAGCATTGGGAAAGGAAAGAAGGAACCTGAAACCTTACCAATGACAGCACATCGACAGTTCAGAAAGTCAAAACATTTGGAGCACAGCAGCTGCAGAAAGCAGAGGGGAGCTGCCCATGCTGCTGAGCTTGAAGGGGATTTGCCACCAATGGAATTCTGTCCATCCCATGGCATGCCTGTGCAGCTGGAGTGAGGAGGGAGCACATCCTCTGAGCCACTGGTCCAGCACAGCCCTGGAGGAGCAGCTGAGCCTTGGGGACACTCTGCTGTCAACACAGGTTTCTCCAGCAATTCCCTTGTGCCAAGTCCTGAGGGGAAAAAAATCCTTTCAGTGCTGGGAAAAAGGAAGGGCAGAAGAAGAGCATCCAGATCAAGCTGCCCTGGGGTCATTTATCAAAGCAGGCTGTGCCTGGGTGGTTTGGGAGCATTCCCACATGCCAGGCTGCAGCTGGTGTCTGGCACCAGAACCTGCTGGTTCTGGGAAGCTCCCAGGGGACATTCCAGGTATTCCAGGAATGATCTCGGGAAGGAGGAGCAGCCTGGGCAGCAGAACACCTGCAGTGCTGGTCAAACCCTCCGGGGGGGAAGGAAAATGCTTCCCTCAGGAGTGAGAGCCTGCAGACCTGGGCACGGTCACTGTGGTGCAAGCACAGGTGATTTCCTCTGCCAGGTGAGTTCAGGTCCTGAGGTCAGGGCTAAAGTGCTGACATTTGGTATTTCTTGCCTTAAACTCTGTGGCTGAGAGACTGAAATCCCTTTTTCCAGTGTCCACAGCAAGTTCTACCTGGAGAATATCCAGCTTCTCCACACCAGGAAGGTGTACCTGGCTGGAAGGGGTGGATGCTGAAGTTTGAATTGATTTCATCTCTCTCCACAGCTGCCTCTGCAATGCATGGGCATGCTCTGCCATGCAGAACCTGCATTTTGCACAGCAGATCCTTTCAGGAGTGTGGAGTTCCAGACTTCCTGGATATACAAACCATTCCTACATCATATGCCCTCTTATGGCCTCAGCAGACAGAGTGGTGGCACAGTTTAGAGAGGCATGGAGACAACAGCTAATTAAAATTTGGAAGCCAAACTGGATTTGTTTTGAGCTCTTGGAGTCCTCAGATTGCTTCAGGTGTGAGCCAGGTCTGGCATTAGGCGAGCAGATGGGTTTATGACTCCCTGGACGCAGAGAGGCAGATTAAGGGAGGGAAGCTTTGCAAAAACAGGAGCAGGACTTGTGCCTGGCTCCAGTGAATCCTCTGTGGAATCTGCCGGCAGAGTGGGCTCCTCCTGAAGTAAGGGATGGTGGAAGTGCAAAAACACACCCAGAACCCCACCCAGGAGTAGTTGGGGACCATCTAGGGGGGACAGAGCTCAGCTGGCAGAATTCCTGTGGTGGATTATCACGAAGTTTTTAGTTCAGTCCCAGCTTTTAATTGTGGAAAATGGGTTGTATCTCTCCAGTGCACTGCAGAGAAACTCCAGCCTGGGAAAGGGAAACAAAAACGATTGAATGAAATTCTGTACCCTCGATTTACATCCCGATTGCTGCTGGGGAGCCCCCATTGTGGCATTATGGGATGGACCTGGGCACGTCCTTGCTGGGATCTGCAAGGATTCCCCCTGCCCTGCTGGGAGCAGGCACCGGCACCAGCCGGAGCCGCATCCCCGCAGCAAACGAGGTCGTTTGGGGACAGCCGGAAAACTTCTGGAAATCTGGGTGAAAAAGGCAGCGTCTCCAAATAAGGTGGGGATGAGGAATCCCATCGGAGCGGGCTCCCGGCTCTCCGGCGGGCGTGCAGGGACCTCTGGTGGCAGCCGAGCCCGAGAGTTCCCGTCCCTGCTCTTCCCTCCGGGTTCTTTGGGGACGAGCCTGGCCCCCGAGCCTGTGGCGTGTGGTTGGAATTTTTTGGCCTGATCTGGTGTCAGGGGACTTGTTTGTAACTGGGTTTGGACGTCTGCAGCTCCAAAACCGCCCCCGGTGAATGCCATTGCTGCAGAGGAAGGAAAAAGGCTGGAATCGGGGTTGTAAGAAACTCAATGGGAAATAAATTAAATGAAATCTGGGCTGAAACAACCCAAAAAGTAGTTTATACGTAACTGTTGGTAGTGCTCTAGCAATTGGGATCAAAGTCCTTGAACCAGAGGCTCAATTAATCACGGCTTAAATTCCTGCCATGCAGAAGTGGAAGGTAAAAGCTCTCCAGCCTCCAGAAACATTTTAACTATTCCTGTGCCCGAATCCTGAATGTTCAGCTTTAGGATAAACACAAATGGAGGAGCTCCTGAGGAAACAGGGCTGGAGCTGCAGGCATTGCACAGCCTGGGATTTTCCCTGCAGGAAGGTGAAGGTAGGAGTTGTCACCAGGGAAAAAGGCAGGAAAGATTTTTTTTTTTTTGAGGCTAAACCACCGCAGATGACTTCTCATTCGGAAACCGGCTCTGTGCAATTTTATCCTCAATTAATTGTTAAATGATTTTTCTCCTCAGTGCCCCGAGCAGCCCAGCACGTCTCCAAGGCATGTCTCTCTTTTCCTCAGCACATCTTCTGCTGAACAAAAATGTCTTTGCATTTGGTCTTCTCAGTAACAGATTAGCCTGTGTGATCCTTCCACTGCTAATACACGAGATTATTTAAAATCCCCTGAGCACTCAGGGCTGCCTATTACTTCAGGCACTGTCTCCCTGCCACGTAACTGTTATGAAAGTGCAGTGCCTTGCCTGGCTTTTAAGCAAATTTGTGCAGCATGAATAGATGCTTTTTTTACCAGTTGGGACTATCATAGAAACACAGAATCGTTTAGGTTGGAAAAGAACCTCACCCATCTCCCAATTTGATTTAATCAGCCTTCCATCAGTGTGTATTTGATGCTTTTGTGTCCATCACCCCAAAGCCAGGACAGCAACCAAGAGCTGTCTCCACGCACTTCTGTTTCAGAGAAGAGGAAGTGGAAGATTTCATCCAAAATTAATACCTCAGAGCAGAGGTGGAGTTTGACATTAATCGGTGTGTACACGGTGACTCAGCCCGGCGGCAGGAGGGGAAGCGAGGGCTGCTTCTGCTGGAGACATCAAAAAGCAACAAGGGAGCGATCAAATTACGGGAAGCTGGAAAAGCAGCGTAGTTGTAGGGAAGAACTAAAACTGTGGCTACGGGATTGTGAATTTCCACAACATCCAGACAGCAGAGCTGGGGTATCCAGACTTCGGGGAGCTTTTCTCGGGATCAGACATGGGATATGGGAATAAGGGATAACGGTGCTGTGGGCAGAGCGTTTATAGGCAAAGCAATCAGTTCTTTCTCCGTGCTGGATGTGCGATCAGTGCCGGTGGTGCGGTGTGATCTGGGGGATCCTGAGCCGCGGTGAGCGGCGCTTGGAGAGCTCCTGCCCAAGGAAACAACGACGGGCATCACCCGCCGGGGAGGCTTTGGGGTGAGGGACCCCCGGCCGCAGCACCTCAAGGGAGAAGAGTTCGGCCACCAGGCGGAGGAGGAACCTCCGGGGAACGAGGGCAGCGTCCCAGTTCCCGCACGGGGACCGGACACGCGTTCCCCGCTCCGTGCCACGCTCAGCCGGCTCCGGGCTGGCGCCGCTTGTGCTGCGCGGTGCCGGGGCAGGCGGGAACATCCCCGGGGGTTCCGCTCCCGTTATCCCGCTCCCGGTGTCCCGCTCCCCGACGGGGCGGCCCCCGGCGCTTTCCCTCCCCTCGGGGGCGATGCGGGCAGGGCAGGGCCGGGCAGGGCGGTGCCGGTGCCCAGGGCGGGCCCCGGGGCTGGGCGAGGCGGAGCCCGGCGGGCAGCGAGGCCGGTCCCATGGGAGCCCGGCGGGCCGGTGGATGCCCATGGCTTTCAGCCCGGGGCTGCTGGTGGTGGCCGGTTCCTTCGCCGCTTTCCGCCTGCTGAACCGGGGGCTGGAGCGGCTCGTGCCGCCGCCGCCCTCGGCCCGGCGCAACCGCTGGAAGTGGCGCAACATCTGGACATCGCTGGCGCACAGCGTGCTCAGCGGCGGCGGGGCGCTGGCCGGGTGAGCGGCACCGCGGGGACACCGGGGGACACCGGGAGGGAACGGGGACGTTGAGGGATCCCCCGAGGGGAGCCTGCGGCCAAGGGGGTGCTAAAGGAAATGGGGATGTTGGGGACCCTGGGGAGTGTGAGGACCTGCAGAATGGGGGTGCTGAGAGAGGGAGGAAGGTGCGAGGCACCAGGAGATGGGGAAACTCCAGGAGGAGAGGGGAGCGGGGCAACAGGAGGTCTCCAGTGAGGGTCGGCAGCACCAGGTGGGTAATGAAGACACCGGCAGGGGAATGGGGACCTGGAGGCGCTGCCCGACACTCACAGCCTCTCTCCCCGCAGGTTTTACCTCCACCCCGAGATGTCCAACGACCTGGTGGGCACACACCCGCCCGGGGCGCACAGCCTGGTGGCCGTGTCTGTAGGTGAGGTGTGGCCGTGGACTGTCCCCTGTTCCGTCCCCCCGGGGGTCTTCACGGGCTCGTCCGTGCCTGACACCAGCCCCCCGAGCCATGTCGCGATGTCTCAGGCACCTCAAACAATCGCGCTATTCTTGGCAAAGGACAGTGGCTCCTTTCTGTCCCACGGCAGCCGCAGACAGGAGCTAATGGGCACCGGGCTGCCCTGCACCGGCCCCGGGGGGAGCCGGGGCTCGGGGCACCCCAAAAGTGCCCGCATGGGGTTGGAGGAGTTGATTGGTGCGTCTTCCTGGGAGCACATCCTACAGAGTGATTGCCAGAGGGACCCAAAGCACCGATTTCCTCCTTTTGCTGTGTGTGGCTCCCCACCCACACAGATGTAACCAGCAGGTCCCAGGGGGGCTGCCCAGCCCACCGGGGCAGGGGGGATTCGCTGGCACAGCCCTTCCTGACCCCCTTTTTGTTCATGCACTCCCCACCCCCAGGCTATTTCATTGAAGACTTTGTGGACATGTTGTGCAATCAGAAACTTCATCAGTCCTGGGAGCTGCTCTTTCATCACTCTGTGGTGAGTGCACCTGCACGGGTACCACCAGGGAGGCTGGGCATGGGGGCTCTTGCTGTTGTTTTGTGTTGTTTGCTGCCTGGTCCAAAGTCTGATTTTATTTCCTGGAGAGAGGAGCCCAGACAGCAGGGCCTGGAGCTCCTCTTGGTCCCGCAGGACTCTTAGAGGGTCTGCAAAAAGGGACCCAAAAATAAGGTGGTATTGGCAGTGATGAGAGAGATGAGGCGACTGAATGCTGGTCAGAATCCAAATTTATTGTGGACTACATATGCTTATGTACCATTCTAGGATGGCTAGTAAGTTTTTATTGCAATGATTGGGTTAATCATCACATAAACAAACTTATACATTTTACAACATCTCTTGCTTGCAGAACTTGATGTAATTTTCTTTCCAGTCTGATTTAATTTTCAGCTGTGTTTGTTCTTGCCAAGACACCCTGATTATCAAACATCTTATGCTAATCACGTCCAAAGTCCATCACCTGTCTTGTGTGTCCCAATAGAGTAGGAAACAACATGTGTACAGAGTATGGGCTGATCCACAACAGTGTCACTGACAGCAGTGACCCCGGTGTCCCCTCTGGCACAGTGGGCAGCTCATCTCCTGTGGCTCTTGCCCTGTTGAGCAAGAGCTGCACATCCCAACATCCACCTCCCTCCCCGGGGTGCTTTCCTGGTGTGGCTGGAGCAGCTGGGATGCAGGACCCCCACTCCAGTGCCCCCTGCCTGTCCTGCTGTGCCCTCTGTGGGTTTCTCTCTGTCCAGGTGCCAGAGTGCTTTCCCCAACCCGAACAATTCTGTGGTGCTGAGGCTGTGCATGCTGCAGGGCAGGGGGGTGGCACAGCCTGGAGCTGGGCAGTGGAGATGCTGCAGGGGAGGCTCAGGGCTGTGCAGGGCCTGGGGAGGGGGACAGGGACAGGGACAGGGACAGTGCTGGCACTCACCTAGGATGAGAGGGGCAGTCAGACCTGCTCTGTCAGTGAGCCCTGGGGCTCTGCTGGCTGCTGCTGGTGAGCCAAAAGTTCATCTCCACAATGGAGCTAATTCTAGCCAAGACAGTGACTTGACGAGCGGGGAGCAGATAATCTCATTACAGAGCCCATACAGAGAACAGCATTAACGGCATGAACCAAAGAAAGGACTGAGTGTGCTGGAGCGTGGGCAGGCAGAGCCTGTCCCCCTGCCTGGCAGGGAGGGTGCGGGGCAGGAATCCTGTCCCAAACAGCCCCAGAGTGCTTCAGGGGGCTCTCTGACACACCAAAGCCACCTAATCCCTGTCCTGGGGACAATCCCTGAGCCAGCAGCAGCCGTAGCCCTGAGCTACAGTCTCCCTTCCTGTCCATTCACTGGGTGTGGAAAAACCTGCTTGGCCACAACTGGCTGCATTCTCCAGGCCACAACAGCAGGGTTAGGTCAGGCTGCTTTGTTTCCTCAACCAGCCTGGGGCTCAGAGAGCTGCTTCCTTCTCTTCCCACTGGAACAAACAAACCCACTCAGGTTTCCTGCAATGGTGAGGAGGGACACTCAGTGACAGCCCAAACCCCCTCTGGTTTGAGTGCAGGGCAGCCAGAGCCTGGGCCCTCTGCTCAGCAGGTGTGATCCTGCAGTGCTGGTTTTGTGTTGAACACCCAAACCTGTCCTCTGGCACCTCACATGCGAATTTTAACTTAAATGCAATGTTTTACATTTCCTGACCTCACAGCTTTGGTGCTTGTGCTCAGGGCAACTCTCTGCTCTGAAAGAGCCACATTTTACCCAGGAAAGAGCCACAATTTACCCAGGAGAAAGCTGCAGGGATACCACTGCTGTGATGATCCTTCCCACCTCTGCTCCTTTCTGTGCCCAAGGGGTTCCAGCTTGCAGCAGCTGAGAGCAACCACCCCCTGGGCTCAGCCCCTCTTCTCCCTCGTTCCCAGGTGATCATCTGCTTTGGAATCGCCGTGCTGCTCCACCAGTACGTGGGCTTCGCCCTCGTGGCTTTACTGGTGGAGATCAACTCCATCTTCCTGCACCTGCGGCAGATCCTGCTCATGGCCAACCTGGTGCACACACCCTGCTACCGCCTCAACAGCCTGGTCAACCTGGGCACCTACGTGGTGTTCCGCATGGCCACGCTGGCCTGGATGAGCCGCTGGCTCTTCCTCAACCGCCACAACGTGCCCGCGGCCGCCTACGCCGTGGGCACGGCGGGCATGGCAATCATGACGCCCATGAACATCGTCCTCTTCTACCGCCTGCTGCGCAGCGACTTCCTCAAAGCCCGGCGGGACAAGGAGGAATGGCAGGAGAAGGAGGAAGGGCAGGAGAAGGAGGAACAGCAGGACAAGGAGGAATAGCCCCTCCCCTGTGAGCCCATGGAGCGCTGAAGGGTGAACGCGGCTGTTTCAGCACCTTACAGGGAGGGGCTTCACTAACAGAGCATCCAGGCTTTGCTCGTGGCCCTGCACAGCAAGGAGGTGCTCATGGACCAGGCTCTGCTCCCCACTTTTGGATGATGTGGTTGGACAGCTGGGAGCTGCTCAGAGAGGCTCCCTGAGGCACCACTGAGAGGAGAAGGGGGCAGAGCAGCAGTGCTGTTTCCTCACTGCTCTTCCAGACATCCCAACACCACAGGGTGTTCCCAGCCCCCAGTGCCCCATCAGCCACAGATCACTGAGCTCTCTGTGGCTTCTCTGTAGAACAGCAGCAGCAAGACAGGCTCCAAGGTTTTGCCCTCGAGGTGATGGTCAGTGAAAACCAAGCCCTGCACTGATGAGCCCTCCCTGAGGAGATTGTCCCACCTGGCTGGGTGGTCACTGTGGGGTGCAGGTCAGGATCAGCCCCAACCTCTGCTGACAATGGAGCTTTTTCCATGTTTTGTCCCCAGATAATTTAAGTGCCCATAAATGCGGGTGGGAGAGCATGAGTGGCTGGCAGGAGGATGCTGTGTGGTGGTCACTTCCCACAGATGTGGGGTTTTCAGGCACTTTTTAGGATTCAGGAATGCCAGGTTGTGCTGCAGAGCCCGGGGTAACGCTCTCACCCGGCAGCAAAGGCTCCTACTAACACGAGCTTTTAATCAATGGCTGCAAAATGAAGTGGCTTGAGGGGAAAGGACTGAGAGGGGACAAAAGGACTCATCCCCCCAGCCCACTCTGGGGCTGTCACTTAGCACAGTCCTTACCCCGTGTCTCCCTGCCATGGAGTGAAAATACACTGTACACTGGCACACTCTACCTCTCTTGTTGGGTTTTTTTTTCCCACTTCTTACTGTGGAGGAAGATGAAAGTTTTAAATGTTCTTCCACCCCACATTTCCTCACTGATTCACACTGCACTGCTCCCCAGCAGCCCAGCACTGTGTACATAACAGGATCATCCCATGTGGAGTTACGTGAACCAGTCTGGAGAAATCCACCAGCTCAGTCACGTTTCCTTTGTGTGGCAAATGAGCTTTAACACAAAATCTCTGCCTTGGTTTGAGGAGCAGGCACTGCTCACAGAGGGTGGCACGTGTTCTGAGATGGAGACACATTCCTGCTGGGCAGGGAAACATGAGTGATCCATGGGCAGTGTGAGGCTGGAGACAATGTGTGCCCAAAGCTGCTTATATTTCTATTTGTGGACAGCAGGGAAGCTTCCAGGTGCTGGGCACAACTCCTCCAGGTTTGGATGTGTCACCTCAAGCAGTGCTGAGGTGCCTGTGTGCCCCTCACAGCTCCCAGCTGGAGCAGAACTCTCGCCCAGGGCTTTCTCTTTGGTTTGACCCACATATTCCAAATTTTCCAGGAGCTGCTGCAGTGATCCTTGCCCTTAGCACAGCTGAAAACGCTGCCTCTGCCCACAGCCGGGGTGTTTCTCAAGGCCTGGATTGTGTTCCCACATTCCTGCTGTCACATGGATGCCCTGTACCCTGGGCACGTGGGGCTGGGCACCGGGGGAGCCTGGTTTGGGCTCCTCTTAATCCGCCGTGGTTTTCCCACAGGGCTAAGGTGGGATAAGCAGTGGCTTTGCAGGTCACCGAGGTCGGACGTGGGGATGCCCTGTGCTTGTCCATCCCCATGGGAAGTGCCACAGCCTTGGCTGGAAAGGCTTTGGGAAGGACTCACCTCTCTATTCCCACCATATAGGGGACCATGGATCTGGAAGGAGCATCTCCATCAGGGAACCAGCCCTGCTCCAACCCCATCCAATTTCCTTCCAGAACAAACCCCTCTCCCCATGGAAAGCCCTAAGGCAAGAACCTGCCCTGAGACCTGACAACACATTAAACGCACCCACAGTGAGCTGCCCTCATATTTCACAGCTCCTGGGCAAACACTGAGGGCTGGAGGGCCCTGTGCTCCTGGAGAGGGGCAGGAAGGGGGCAGTGAGGTAGGTGGCTTGCTGGGGGATCAGGGGCCACAGTGTGGCCATGGGGGCAGTACTGGGGCGAGGCATCACTGGGGCACAGCATCCCCTGCCTGCCTGGGCCACGAGGGCTGGCTGAGCGCACTGAGGGGATGTCCAGGCCCCGTGGGGAATGTCCCCGCGCTGCTCCACCGGGGACATCACCGGGATTGTCCCGGATACCCAAAATGTCTCCCTGAGGGCTCCCCCCGCCCCTACCACCCCTTGGGGTGGGGGGGGGGGGCACGGCCTGGCCCGTGGCGCCCCCTACAGCAGCGAGCAGTGGGCTGCGCCAGGCGCTGTCCAATCAGAAGCGGCGCTGCGCTGTCACCGCCGCCCCTCTCCGCCAATGGGAAACAGCGAAGGGCGGGACCGGGGAAAGCGGGACGGCACACCGGAAGTGTGCTCCAGACACAACTTCCTCCTCTCTTCCGCCTTCAGTTCCGTCCCCCGCCTCTCCGCCCTCTGATAGGATAAACCTGCTGTCTGTCAGGCTTCCTGAAAGCTGATTGGGCATCCCGCGCTGCTAGTCACGCCTACATCCGGGTCTCGCAGGCGCGGTAGCGACGGCGCGGCGCCGCCATTGTGGTGGGGGAGCGCGGGGGTCGCGGCTGCCGGTGAGGGCCAAGGGGGAGCGGCGGGCCCGGGGTGGGCCCGAGGCGGGCGGGAGTGACGGGGGAGCGACCGGCGGCGGCCTCGCTGTGATTCTGTACCTCACCCTGAGCCCCTCTCCACGCTCTCCGCAGCAGCGTCGCCATGGCCGCCGTGTTCCCGTACCGCGGCGGCTGCGCCCCGGTGCCCAACCCGTTGGCGCCGCTGCCCGACTACATGTCCGAGGAGAAGCTGCAGGAGAAAGGTGGGTACGGCCCCGGCCCCCCAGATCCTCCTCCGGGGGGGACAAGGTGTGACCCGGACTCTGTGTCCCCGCAGCCCGCAAGTGGCAGCAGCTGCAGGCCAAGCGCTATGCGGAGAAGAGGAAATTCGGCTTCGTGGACGCGCAGAAGGAGGACATGCCCCCCGAGCATGTCCGCAAAATCATCCGCGACCACGGCGACATGACCAATAGGAAATTCCGGCACGACAAGCGCGTCTACCTGGGGTAAGGGGTCCGCGGTGTGTGACCGGGGGAGCTCGGGGGATCCGCCGCTGCCGCTTTGGTGGTTGTTAAGGGGAAAGATTCTTCTCCAAAGGGCTCTTTGTGCCTGTTGTGGCTCGCTGAGGATGCCCTGAGGTGTCAGTGCAGAGGAGGATCAGTGAAAGGAGTTGTTGCTTTGAATTTATGAGAAAAAATATTAGCCTGGATAGTGTATCATTGAAGGAGAAGCCTTTTCTCCAAAGGGATTTCAGTGTCAGCTGTAGCTCAGTCTGTTGCTGTGAGGTGTCAGTGCAAAAGAGCATCAACAAAGGGAAATGTTGGTTTGAATTTATGAGAAAAAACATTACCCTGCATAACACAGTGTTCTAGAAGAGGCTGGGGAGAGTATGAAATGTTTTTTGAAAGATTAAAAAGCATCCTGAGTGCTTCTTTGCTGTTTGGGTGTAGAGAGCTGTATAGTGCATATCATGGCCTGCTGCAGTAACTTACCATTACCCATAAAAACTCCAGAAACTCACTTTAAAACTTCCATTTTTGTTAGCAACATTCCTGAAGGCCACATCACTAGAAAACCTTTTGCTAGCCCAAAGGTAGAGTGGGAAATTCATGGATTTGGTTTTTGAACGGGTTAGATGTGCAGCTCTCAGGGAAAACTGGGAGCTCGTTTGGCTCCTGGCAGCTGCTTGGCTGTCCCTGAGAGCCCCTCCAGCGTGGTTTCCCTTGCTTTGTGGCTGCAGTGCTCTGAAGTACATGCCCCATGCTGTGCTGAAGCTGCTGGAGAACATGCCCATGCCCTGGGAGCAGATCCGGGACGTTCCTGTCCTGTACCACATCACCGGCGCCATCTCCTTCGTCAACGAGATCCCCTGGGTCATCGAGCCTGTCTACATTGCCCAGTGGGGGTAGGTGCCTTCTCCTTCGCCCAGCTGGGCCAAACCTTTCTGCATCCACCATGAAACCCCCCTGATTTGAACTTCCCCCTGGTTTCCTGCAGCTCCATGTGGATCATGATGAGGCGGGAGAAGAGGGACAGGCGTCACTTCAAGAGGATGAGATTCCCCCCGTTTGATGATGAGGAGCCCCCTCTGGATTATGCTGATAACATCCTGGATGTGGAGCCCCTGGAGGCCATTCAGCTGGAGCTGGATCCAGAGGAGGATGCCCCTGTGCTGGACTGGTTCTATGACCACCAGCCTCTGAAGGACAACAGGAAGTACGTGGCACTGGGACAGGGGGAAAACAAACAGTGCATGAATTAGGGGTGCAGAGCAGTGTGTAAGCTTTGTGTGATGTTGGTGGGGAGAGAAAAACCTTCCCTCAAGGGTGGGAGGGAAAACCTGAGTGTTGGGAAGGTACAGGTTGCTCAGAGAAGCTGTGGCTGCCCCATCCCTGGAAGTGATCCAAGCCAGGTTGGATGGGGCTCTGGGCAACCTGGGATAGAGGAAGGTGGAAGGCTTGGAACAAGATGAGCTTTAAAGTTCCTTCCAAGCCAAACCATTCTGGGATTCTGTGGTCCAGCATCCAGCAAGGCCCCTCTATCTAGGAGGCCTGTGACCCACTCACCTGCTAAAACTGATTTTCTTCACCTCACATACTGTGGTGTTTGAGAGGTCCCCAGGATGAGGTGAGAGATGAGAATTTGACTCCATGTTCTCAGAAGACTAACATAATATAACATAATATAACATAACATAATATAACAATTACATAATTATATTTATTATATATTTATAATATTATATGTTTCTATTTATTAATTTATGGTTTTTATATTTATTATTTTATATTAATTAGATTAGATTATATTATGCTATATTGAAACTATACTAAAGAAAGAGAAAGGATA